GCAGCAGATGGGAGGTGGCGCAGCAGGTTGACTGAAGCAGACGCAAACAGCATCCACGCCCAGCAGCCAAGACAAAGTGAGAAGAAAATATGCAAGAATATAAAAAAAAAAGAACGAAGAGAGAAACGAGCAGCAGTGAGATCCGGCCAACAGAGAAGTACAACTAAATAAACTACAGGCAAAAGCAACAAACAAATAAGCAAATAAGCATAGGCGCAGCTATACATAGAACAGGAAGACTAAAAGAGAAACAAATACATATGAAAAAAAACACAAGCCCCCCACTAAATAATTTTCCTTAGTTCCCTGCTGACGTACCCTATAGTCCTCACGCGGTGTCTGTACACATCATACTCCCCCCCAAATAACTTAATAAGTTGTTTCTCTTCATAGTAAATCCTCTCCCGAAAGAAAACAAAAGAGACGACGAAAAATAAGCAGCAGCAAACCGCATTCAGCAGCAGGATCTGAGAGCCTGCAACAGCGCAGCAGCAGCGCAGCAGCAGCAAACACAACGCCACAAACAACAACTTAGGGTTTAGGGTTTAGGGTTTGTGATGCCTTCAGACTGCAGCAGCAACACAGAGGAGAGAGAACCAACAAATGCAGCAAAACAGAGACGCCGCAGCAATGGAACAAACTGCCTCTTCTCCCCTATAAACTAACAAAGCCACACAACACCAGCAGCAGCATCAACTGCAGCAGCAGCAACTGCAGCAGCAGCAACTGCAGCAGCATCGGCAGCAGCATCGGCAGCAGCATCTTACCTACGGCCCACCAGAACCAGCCTGCGTATGCTGGGTGTCTGCATTTGCTGTAGACTCCGTGAACACAGAGTCGATGTTTTTCTGTTTTTTGTTTTCTGATTTGATGAGTGAAATTCTCTCTTAGAGTTAAAAAACCAAAACACCGCAGCAGCAAACCACCAACAGCAACAAACAAACCGCTAGCAGATATCAATACCAATATACAGAGGATGCATAGCTGCCAATACACAGATGCTGCTTCACCTCCTGTTGTTGCTGCTGCTGCTGCACCACCACCGGTAATGGAAGGGGATGACGAAACGTTCTGCTGCTGCTGCTGCTGGGGCGGCAGCTGCTGCAGTCCCTGCTGCAGCTGCTGCTGCAGTGGAGGCAGCAGCAACACATCCAACTCGCTGGGGAGGAGAGGACGCTGCAGCAGCGCATGCCATGCGAAGGTGTGCAGCTGCAGCAAAAGCTGCGGAAGATGGAGCTGCTGCTGCAGCAGGAGCTGCAGCAGCAGCGCGTTGCTGCTGTTGAGGATTGCAGCAGCAACTGAGGGTTTGAGTTGCTGCTCCAGCAGCGCCAGCAGCAGCA